GTCGAGTCGGGCTGGAAGGCGCGCCCCTGGTCCCTCTCGCTCCCCTTCCTTCTCCTCTCTGATGCCTATCCTCCCTCTGCCGTCAGATCTGCTGGGCGACCCGGCCGCCTTCACCGCCACCAGCGCCGCCTCCACCGCCTTCACCGCCTCCACCGCCAACACCGCCCCCGCTGCCGCCGCTGCCGCCGCTCTCCCCCGGCTTCGATGTCGCCGCGGAGAGCGAGGACCAGCTCCGCAACCTGATCGAGGAGGCTACTGCTACTGCTGCCAACGTCTCCATCTACCTACCGCCCAGTGCGCACTTCAAGCTGGGCAGCCAGATCAGCTGCACCTCCACCATCAAAGTGACCGTCGCGAGCAGCGGCGAGGGCGCGACGCTCGACGGCAAGCGAGAGACCAGGCTCTTTTACCTCGAGGGCGGCTGCAGCCTCACCCTGCGGGGGCTGACCCTCGTCAACGGGTGGGCGGGGGACAGCGGCGGCGTTGTGCAAGCTGACGGCGCAGGCGACGTCGAGATCATCGACTCGACTGTCAGGGACTGCTCTGCTGACTCTGTGCGCCGCGTAGAGCTAGCCGCCACCCCTGCAGCGCCGCACGGCAGCGGGGCGAGAGATGGAGAGGGCCACGGCCGCCTCACCCCGCTCTCTCCTCGCAACCGCAGAACGGCGGCGTCGTCTACACGCAGTACAGCGGTGCGGTCTCGATAATCGGCTCGACCGTGTCGGGCTGCTCGGCTCTTGTGCGCCGCGTAGAGCTAGCCGCCCTGCAGCGCCGCACGGCAGCGGGGCGAGTGATAGAGAGGACCACGGCTGCCTCACCCCGCTCTCTCCTCCCAACCGCAGGACGGCGGCGTCGTCTACACGCAGGACAGCGGTGCGGTCTCGATAAATGGCTCGTCCGTGACGAGCTGCTCGGCTCTTGTGCGCCGCGTAGAGCTAGCCGCCCTGCAGCGCCGCACGGCAGCGGTTCGAGTGATAGAGAGGGACACGGCTGCCTCACCCCGCTCTCTCCTCGCAACCGCAGGACGGCGGCGTCGTCTACTCGGACGACAGCGGTGCGGTCTCGATAACCGGCACGACCGTGTCGGGCTGCTCGGCTGGCAGGGTGCGCAGCGTAGAGCTGGCCGCCGCCCTGCAGCGCCGCACGGCAGCGGGTCGAGTGATAGAGAGGGCCACGGCCGCCTCACCCCGCTCTCTCCTCGCAACCGCAGGACGGCGGCGTCGTCTACACGCAGTACAGCGGTGCGGTCTCGATAAATGGCTCGTCCGTGACGAGCTGCTCGGCTCTTGTGCGCCGCGTAGAGCTAGCCGCCCTGCAGCGCCGCACGGCAGCGGTTCGAGTGATAGAGAGGGACACGGCTGCCTCACCCCGCTCTCTCCTCGCAACCGCAGAACGGCGGCGTCGTCTACTCGGACGACAGCGGTGCGGTCTCGATAACCGGCACGACCGTGGCGGGCTGCTATGCTGGCTATGTGCGTGCCCAAGGGGTGCGTGTCGAGAGCGGCGCCGCACGGCAGCAGGGCGAGAGGTAGAGAGGGGCCACGGCTGCCTCACCCCACTCTCTCCTCGCAACCGCAGGACGGCGGCGTCGTCTACGCGCGGTACAGCGGTGCGGTCTCGCTAATCGGCTCGCACGTGTCGGGCTGCTCGGCTGGCTGGGTGTGCCGCGTAGAGCTAGCCGCCGCCCTGCAGCACCACACGGCAACGGTTCGAGTGATAGAGAGGGACACGGCTGCCTCACCCCGCTCTCTCCTCCCAACCGCAGAACGGCGGCGTCGTCTACTCGGAGGACAGCGGTGCGGTCTCGATAACCGGCACGACCGTGTCGGGCTGTTCGGTTGGCGGGGTGCGCCGCGTAGAGCTAGCCGCACCCCTCCAGCGCCCACGGCAGCGGGGCGAGAGATAAAGAGGGCCACGGCAGCCTCACCCCGCTCTCTCCTCGAAACCACAGTACGGCGGCGTCGTCTACTCGGAGGACAGCGGTGCACGTCGTCGAGCAGGTGCGGTCTCGATCATCGGCTCGGACGTGTCGGGCTGCTCGGCTGGCTATGGCGGGGTGCGCAGCGTAGAGCTGGCCGCCGCCCTGCAGCGCCGCACGGCAGCGGGTCGAGTGATAGAGAGGGCCACGGCTGCCTCACCCCGCTCTCTCCTCGCCACCGCAGATCGGCGGCGTCGTCTACGCGTATGGCAGCGGTGCGGTCTCGCTAATCGAATCGGCCGTGTCGGGCTGCTCGGCTGGCGGCGCTGCTGTAGTAGGGGACGCGGGGCACGGCGGAGCTACATACACGGCTGACACTGACCTCATCGTGACCGAATCCACCATCTCTGGCTGCAATGCCACGTTTGGCGGCGCAGTTTACGTGGCCTGGGGCTCAGCCAGCCTGGCCCGCTCAACCATCTCCAGCTGCATCGCCACAGAGTCTGGCGGCGGCCTCTACTCGGCGGGAGGGCGCACCTCCCTTAGCGACGGCACCCTCATCAGCGGCTGCTCTGCTCAGCATGGCGGCGGCCTCTACTCGGCGGGAGGGCGCACCTCCCTTAGCGACGGCACACTCATCAGCGGCTGCTCTGCCCCAGTTACAGAGGGGAGCTCCATCTTCCTGCTCGCTGGCGAGGTCTCCTATACCCTCCCCGCCCCCGCCGGCCGCTGGCTGCCGAACGCGCGCTGCGAGGTGTACCGGGAGGCGTGCTCTTACCCCTCGTGCAGCGACAACGTTGAACGGTGCAAGCAAACACAGGCTTGCGACGAGCGCGGCGTGTGCAAGCAGACGGCTTGCCTCGAGCACCGCGACTATTGCGCCCTCGCCCTCACAGCAGTCGACCAGCCTCCTCGGTACTGCCAGAACCCGACCTTCGTGCAGCCCTGCAACTGGGAGGACGACCCCTCTCTCCTCGGCGTGAACCTCTACCAGCTGCCGCTGCTGCCCGTCGATGAGGACTTCCCCTTTGCCTGCGCCGCCGGCCTCCTCGGCTCGGCCGACCCAAAGGAGCAGTCGAGCAGCAGCTGCGCCGGCCGCTGCCCCGCAGGCTACAAATGCCCCACGGAGGCGACCTATGAGGCGCTGCCCTGCGATGCGGGTCATTACTGCCCGAAGGGGACGAGCGTGCCACTTCCCTGCCCCGCCGGGTCGTACTCGAACGCCACCGACCTCACCGACGCGAGCGAGTGCACCGACGCCTCGCCGGGCCACTTCGCCACCACCGGCTCGACGCAGCAGACGGCGTGCGCCAAGGGGTCGTACACGAACGAGACCAGGCAGGGCGAGTGCACGCCCTGTTCCGGCGGCACGTACCAGGACGCGGAGGCGCAGACGGCGTGCAAGCCGTGCGAGGCGGGCGGCTACTGCGCTGTTGGCGCGGCGGCGGCGCTGCCGTGCGAGGCTGGCAGCTACTCGACCGGCACCAACCTCTCCGCCGCGAGCGAGTGCACCGACGCCTCGCCGGGCCACTTCGCCACCACGGGCTCGACGCAGCAGACGGCGTGCGCCAAGGGGTCGTACACGAACGAGACCAGGCAGGGCGAGTGCACGCCCTGTTCCGGCGGCACGTACCAGGACGCGGAGGCGCAGACGGCGTGCAAGCCGTGCGAGGCGGGCGGCTACTGCGCTGTTGGCGCGGCGGCGGCGCTGCCGTGCGAGACTGGCAGCTACTCGCGCGCCACCAACCTCTCCGCCGCGAGCGAGTGCACCGACGCCTCGCCGGGCCACTTCGCCACCACGGGCTCGACGCAGCAGACGGCGTGCGCCAAGGGGTCGTACACGAACGAGACCAGGCAGGGCGAGTGCACGCCCTGTTCCGCCGGCACGTACCAGGACGCGGAGGCGCAGACGGCGTGCAAGCCGTGCGAGGCGGGCGGCTACTGCGCTGTTGGCGCGGCGGCGGCGCTGCCGTGCGAGGCTGGCAGCTACTCGACCGGCACCAACCTCTCCGCCGCGAGCGAGTGCACCGACGCCTCGCCGGGCTACTTCGCCACTACGGGCTCGACGCAGCAGACGGCGTGTCGCGAGGGCAGCTACGCCGCCACGGGCGGCCTCTCCGAGTGCGCCAGCTGCGGCGGAGGGACCTACCAGAACTACACGGGCGCGACGAGATGCCGCGCGTGCGAGCAGGGCAGCTACTGCGCCGAGGGCGCGGCGGCGCCGCTGCCGTGCGAGAAGGGCAGCTACACGAGCGCAACCAACCTCAGCGACGCGGGCGAGTGCACGGCCTGCCCCGCCGGCAGCGCTTGCTCCACGGGCAGCATCGAGCCGACGCCGTGCTCGCCTGGCACCTTCGCCGCGAAAGAGGGGCAGTCCAAGTGCGAGCCTTGCCTTGCCGGCACCTCGTCGAGTCAAGGCAGCGTCGCGTGCGACGAGTGCGAGGCTGGCCGTTACGCCGCCAACGCCGGCCAAGGCCTGTGCGTCCCATGTCCTCACCCCCTCAGCTCGGTCAGCGGCAGCACCACCTGCTCGTTTTGCATGGACGACTACTACTTGCGGAACGCGACTGCCGGCCCGGACGATATGTTCAAATCCCCGACCGAGTACTGCAAGTCCTGCCCGCCGAACGCCGACTGCCCAGTCAACACGACTCTCGAGTCCCTCGGTATCCCGGCCGGCTTCTGGCGCGCCAGCCCCTTTACCGCCGTGCTGGCAGAGTGCGGCGGCTTTGGCGGCGATGGCGAGGCCGGCGAGAAGCGATGCGCCGGCAGCGAGGCAGAGGCCTCTCGTCGCCGGAGGATGGAGGTGAGCTCTTCGGACGAGTACTGCGCTTCCGGCTTCAAAGGCCCCGAGTGCCAGCTCTGCGCCGCAGAGAACCATTACCTCGTCGATGGCGTCAACTGCAAGGAGTGCGCGGCGCGCGGCGCGGCGGCGGGCCGCATCGTAGGCCTCGTCCTCGGCCTCTGCGTCGCGTGCGGCTTGGCGGCGTGGGCCTACCACATGCCGTGGCGGAAGGAGCGCATCATCGGCTCTATCCTCCGCTTTGCAGACCGCTCCGTCAAGTACTACGTCGGGGTCGGAATGACGGCAAAGCTCAAGATCCTGTTTGGCTTCTATCAGACCTGCACCGTCCTCTCCTCCACCTACTCCGCGCGGCTGCCGGACAAGTACACGGGCTGGACGGACAACTTGGCCAACGTGATCTCCATCGACTGGTCTGGCTTTTTCCTGCCGGAGCAGTGCCTCGGCTACGCTCTGCGGCTCCTCGCCATCGCCCTCTCCCCCGTCGCGCTCATCGCCCTGCTAATGATCGCGGGAATAAGCCTGCGGCTCCGCTGCTGGCGCGCCGCCCCGGCGCCGCGCGAGAGATCGTGGTACGCGGAGGTGGCCCTCGGCCTCCTCGACCTCACGCCGGCCGGCCTTGTGCTCATCTTCTGCTTCGTGCCCTCCATCAGCGCCTCCATCTTCCGCTCCTGGTCGTGCCAGGCGCCCTCTCACAGCTGATGATTGCCGTTGCTCACAACACCACACCCCTCAGTCCTCGCAACGTTCTGCTGATAGGCCTACACCACCTCTCCGCCCGGCGAGGAGCTAGAGCAGGTCTCCTACATGCGGCAGGACGCGAGCGTCAAGTGCGGCTCCGACGATCACGGACCCATCACCGCCCTCGCCACCGGCTTCATCGTCCTCTGGCCCGCCGGCTCGCTGGTCCTCTTCACGTCGCTCCTCGCCGCTTGCTACAAGCCGCTGCAGGCCAAGACGCCGACTGCTCTGACGCGGGCCACCGCCTTCCTCCACCGGGAGTACGAGAAGACCTGGTACTGGTGGGAGGCGGTCGAGCTGGCGCGCAAGCTCGTGCTGACTGGCTTCGTGCTTCTGATCCCGGAGGAGCGCGCCTTTGTTCGCCTCGTGGTGGCGACGCTCATCTGCTCATGCTACGCCGTCGCACTCGCTGTCGTGCGGCCGTACAAGCGGGTCGAGGACAACGTGCTCGCCGTCGCCACGAGCCTCGTGCTCCTCCTCCTCTTCCTCGGCACCAACTGGAGCACCATCTTCCTCGGCATCCAGGAGCGGTACCAGGAAGCCGACCCCGCCGATGTCCTCGGCTTCCGCAGCCTCAATGTGATTGTCGACTCGATGATCATCCTCGTTGCAGTCGTGCTCGCCTTCTTCCTCGTCGGCGCCATCATCGCCGCCCGTCGCGTCGCCAAGATCCCCACGATCCGACTCGTCTCGACCAAGCAGCCCCCCGAGCTGAGCATCGTGAGGGGCCTCACGTGGCACCTCTTCAACAGCCACATCTGGTGAGTCACGGCTATGGAGGGAGAGAGGGACCGAAACAGCCGGCATGACCCCCACCCCTCACCCAAACGAATAGGTCGACCGGTCAAGACGCCGTCAAGGTCATCAAGGGTGAGCTCGAGCAGCTGCTGCCGGACATCAAAGTCTTTCTCGACGCGCGCACATGCTCATCAGCGCTGCTTAAGCTACACACAGAGCCCCCCTTGACGCACCGCGGTGTGCTCATAGGTAGATGATCTCAAGGATATCGGGGCGCTGGAGGAGTACATCCAGAGCTCGCAGGTCATCCTCTTCTTCCTCTCGCAGGGCTACTTCCGCTCCAAGGCTCGCCTCTTCCTCCCACCCCGCCTCTACCGCACCCTGGCCCCAAGAACTGCCGCCTCGCCCGCGCCACAGAACTGCCTCCGAGAGGTCCGCTCGTCGCTCGAGAAGGACAAGCCGCTCGTCCTCGTCCAAGAAGCGGACCCTGAAAAGGGCGGCGGGACGCTCCAGGCGCTGCGCGGCGAGTGCCCCGAGGACCTGCAGCCGGCCATCTTTGACAACGACTGGCCGCTCACGATTTGGTATCGCATCGAAGAGTTTCAGCTCGTCTCGCTCAAGATCATCGCCGAGGCGCCGCCGGCCACAGCCAGCCGCTTCGCAGTCCCTCTCTCCCGACCGACTCCACTTGAAGCACCCTAGGCGGTGCTCCTCTGCTCGCCCAACTATCTGAACGAGGCCTCCCTCCCGCTCTGCGTGTCGGGCGAGCCAGAGAGCCAGCCGCTCGCCTTTTCCAAACCGTGCACGCTCTGGGCCTCGCCGGCCAACCCGGGCGCCGCAGAGCTGGCCTGCGAGCTTGCCAGGGCCTTTCCCGGCCTCACCGTCTCCACCGTTGCGGACGTTGGCTCCTCTGCATCAGCACGCCCCTCCACGGCACTTCGCGGGTTGGCACGCCGATCGCGCCGCGCCGCCGATGTGACCCACATGCTGTTGTACCTCAATCAGAATACCTGGCTGGAGGAGGACGGCGAGCGGCTGGCCGAGCAGGTCAAGCAAGCGCGCGAGGACAAGCTGAAGATCGTCATGGCGCACGAGAACGACCCCGCGCTCGGCGGCTGCCAGTTCGCGCGCTTTTTCGAAGTCACGCCGCAGGAGCGGATGTCTCACAGTGACGCCCGTCCCGAGCCTCCCCTCCCCCCACAACCCTCTCCTCCCAACGCCGCAGGAGCTCATCGCCGGCGGACTCTACAAGGACCTGGCAAAATCGTGCTTCCCGGGGCGCCACCGCAAGGCGCGCGCCCTCTCTCCCACAGCTCGACTTTGCCTTTCGTGACGAGCAGGGCCGTCCCTGCCCGCAGGTTTCGCTCGTGCTTCTGGCAAAGAGCCTAGGCGCGACCCCCGCTCGGTCGCGGGCGGACCTCCTCGTTTCAGGCAGCGTCGCTGAGGGCAGCACCAGCCTCGCGAAGCGAAGCTTTGGCGGCCTCAGCCGGGTGTTCGCCAAGATGAGCAGCCGCAGCTCTGCGGAGGCGCGCGACGTCTCTGCCGGCGAGGCGTCGTCGGTGCAGCGGCAGGTCTGATCGGTTGCGCGATCGTGCGCAAACGTGCAGCGCGGCGACACACAGGGGGGCATGACAATGTGTATGTGAGTGAGTGAGTCTGGGAGTGAGTGATCTCTTGATCAGACATTCTTGACGCAGGAAAAGAAAGAAAACACCGAACGTCCTTCCACCGCCCACCGCTCTGCCCGCCCCCTGGATGTATTTGTTTTTCACACAGCTGGCTAGCAGTCACAGCGGAAACGGCCCAGTTAAACACGCGGGCGCCCGGGGCACCTCGGCGCTCATACTCGCTCATACTACCAACTTCCCGATTAAGCTAAGTTAATCAGAGGGCAGATTTGGAGAGATCTCGAGGAGTACATACAGATAGACCCTCTAACCATCAGAAAACTCCAACCTGATCGGTCGTACTGACCGCCGACGGATAACTCCAGACAGCAGACAGGCCGACGTCTGCACGCGGCCGGCCGGGCGAGAGGCTTGACACGATCTCTGGGCCGGCGCGGGGCCCCCCGGAGGCACCGTGCGCCGCGCCGCAGTGCGGAAACGGGGCCCCGGCTCCACTAGTCTCCACTAGCACCAACTTCCCGATTAAGTACGGTTAAGTAGAGGGCAGATTTGGAAAGATCTCGAGGAGTACATACAGATAGACCCTCCAACCATCAGAAATCTCCGACCTGATCGGTCGTACTGACCGCCGACAGATCACTCCAGACAGCAGACAGGCCGACGTCTGCACGCGGCCGGCCGGGCGAGAGGCTTGACACGATCCGACCCTGCGACCCTGACGCTGCTGCTCTAGCTATCAGCCATGCACTGCTGACTGCTGCCACAATGTGCGACCTGTGCTGGCCCACTTGGCGGCCTTCCCGGTCAGTGGTGAGGCGCAGTTCAGAGCTGTCGATGGCGCGATGCCGCACTGGTCCCACATTGGTGACACGATACCACCACGTTTGCCGGTCCAAGAGAGAGGCACCGGCGCTGTCCTGAGAAGGTGCGTGGTCCCTCTTGACTGCCCATGCGCGCGAGGCTGTGTAGGCATAGCCTCGAGAGTGCCAGCAGCCAATCCGAGGTGACGCGCATTGCGCCAGAAGCGTGCACACGATGGAAGGACACCTTCCTACTGGCCGTACGATCAGGTCGTCACTGAATGCTTGATACTAAGGCCGCGAGCTATGCAGGTGATCAATTGTGCATCATGGCACGGTCAGCTGCGCCGACAGGCTGTCGCAAGGCGTGATAGCATGGCCGCAAGTACGCCGAATTCCCATGAAAACAAGTAAAAAACTCCAAAAAAGAAAAACAATCCAAAAAAATCGGCGCCTGCGGCGGGCCATGGGACCCCATCTCCCCCCCGCATGGACACCCTCTGGGGCCCCCGCGCCGGCCCAGAGGACACGATCCGACCCTGCGACCCTGATGCTGCTGCTCTTAGGTCTAGCTATCAGACATGCACTGCTGACTGCTGCCACAATGTGTGACCGGTGCTGGCCCACTTGGCGGCCTTCCCGGTCAGTGGTGAGGCGCAGTTCTGAGTTCAGAGCTGTCGATGGCGCGATGCTGCACTGGTCCCACATTGGTGACACGTACCTACCTTACTTATGGGAAACTAAAAAAGAAATCACGGGCTGGGTGAAGGTGGGGTACTATACCAACTAAAGTGATGGCTGGTGGTACTATCCTGCAACCACAGTCCTTCCTGTGACATGGCAGGCCACTCTCAAGCCCTACAAGCACCAGATCAACGACTTGGGGAGGGTTGACATCGTGATTTGGGCGGAAAAATTCTTTTTCTGCTGTGAAAATTCCGGCGTGAGAGAGGGAAAAACCCGACGGGAGGGCCCAGACCCTACCCTACCTACCCCGTCATGATGTCCGGCCAAGCAAAAATAAACGCGACCTGTCTCACCAGACAGGAGGGGGCCAGGACGCGGTTTGCTCACCCGCCGGTGCTCCCTGATGGTCAAGAGGACGCCCGGCACTGGGAAGGGCGGCGGCGGCGGCGGCGGCGGCGGCGGCGGTCCCGCCGAGAAGAAGCTCCAGACCAACAAGAAGGGAACCTTCATCTTCACCAAGGCCCGTGCTTGCCCAGCAGCACACACCGCTGGCGCAGCTCGCCAAACTCCTGGTCCTCGGCCATGCTCTCCTCGCAGAGCACGCCCTCGCCGCCCGCTCCGGTCGACGCTGGCGTGCGCATCGGCCCGCAGGTGGCTGACGGCCTCTTCGTGCAGCACAAGTGGGGCGCCAACTCGGGGCAGATTGGCATCCCGAACGAGTCACTAAAAGAGTTTGCGCAGCTGGTGCTCTCGATGAGCGGGAAGGGCGGCGGCGGGAAGGGCGCGGCGAAGCCGGCGTCCAAGGGCGTGGCCAAGAAGGAGAAGAAGAAGAAGGAGCCCGAGAAGAAGCCCACGGCGGAGGAGCTCGACGCAGACCTCGGCGCGCCCTCTCGCCGTCTTTGAAAGACTCGCGCCCGCGACACGCTCGAAGCCCGCGCAGCCCTGCTCGCAGCGCCACTCTCGCGGCCCCGCGCGCAGCGCTTCGCCATTGTCGCACCTCGCCGCACCCACCGCACCAGTCGCGTGTGCACCAGTCGCGTGTGCCCACCCTGCAGACCGCCCTCACTCCCACCCTACAGACAAACCCTCAGGGCAGCTCCCCCCCCCCCCCCCCTTCCCCCTTCTCCCTCTCCCGTTTTCTCGCTCGCTCACTCTGGCAAACTCTGATCAGCACCTGTGCTCTCCCTCTCTGTCCGACAGGCGCCTACACCTCCGGCCGCGGAGGAGTGGAGGAGGCGCCTGCCCCGGCAGCGGAGGCGGCCGCGTAGGGCTATCGACCGCGGCCGGGCAACCGGATGGTGCATGTCTCTCCCGGCCCGCCCTCTCTGCGGGTGGGCGGTCAACGTGTGGGTTGTGTTGGGCGCTGTGCTTGAGTCGCGCGTCAAACAGATATTTTATATTTTTCTTTTTCATCCACACACATACTTTGTGTCAAGAAAACACAAACGAGCAAAAATATCCTTCTTCTGCCCCCTCTTCTTTTTCTTGCTACGACGCGAAGTGGGTCAAGAAAGCCATAACGCGGCTTGGTGCTCGTGTCAATCGTCGTCAGTACTGCTACGCATATGCACGGAGGCCCATATGCATACGCATCACATTACGCCCTCTCGGGAATACGTAAACTCGGTGCGTGTACGTCACTTGCCAGTCCAAATGCGTCGCATTACGCAGCCCGTCGAACGCCTCCCCCTTCAAAAATAAATAGAAAACGTCAATACATACACGTAATCATCGCGTGCGTGACGGTGCGATGGCCCTGTGGTTGCCTCATACGTACCACGTGTCACGTATACGGATTATGGAGATCTCCGCCGGTGCGCCGCGGCCCACGGAGGGCGGGGCGTCTTCGACGTATCACGTATCCGCATTACGCATACGTCCTTTTCACCGCAAAGCTTTGCCCCGGGGACGGTGCAATGGCCCGCGCGGCGGGTGCCTTACGTACCACGTCTCACGTTTCCGGATTATGTATCTCGCCCCGCGCGCCCCCGAGCCCCCCCCCCCCCTACGTATCACGCATACGCATTACGCATTACGTATTTTTCATCCTTCGTAGTCCAAGGCAATGTTACAAAGCATAAATTGTACAAAGACGATGGCAGTGAAGTGCCAAGAGAGACACCTTCTCCGCCGACAGTCAAACAGTTCCCTCGAGGTCTCACAGGACCCACACACAGCAGATTGCAGAGGCGCGCGGGCCTCGCCCCGACCCCTCGCCCCTTCGCGTCGGCGACGGGAGAGGAAAGGAGAGGCGGCCGAGCAGGCGAGGCCCGCAGTCATATCCCCTCACACACACAAAGATGGCTCGCACGACGCTGACTAGAGTCTAGGCCCGAGGAGGACCTTTGCAGCTGTCGCGCGTGCCGGGGGAGTGGCGCTGCGTGGAGGCACGGCGGGGCGGCGCGCCGACGAATGCTCCACACACTTCAGTCCGCTCACGCCGATGGGCGGCGGAAGAGCATGTTGGCAAATGCTCCGATGCCGGAGGGCTGATTGCCGTTCCCCGCCTATTAAGGAATAAAACGGATCGGAGCTAGTGGTGCTAGCCAACTTATGGCAGCCCGAGCGGCAGCGCCAGTGCGCGCACATAAAGGGGGGTGGGTGGGGGGTTAGGGGGTGGCTGTCGAGGGCTATGCCCGAGTCTGTTGTTACCAGCGCACATACAACCCTAGCCAACTTATGGCAGCCCGAGCGGCAGCGCCAGTGCGCGCACATAAAGGGGGGGGGGGGGGGGGGGGTTAGGGGTGGCTTTCAAGGGCTATTCCCCAATCTTTTGTTACCAGCGCACATACAACCCTAGCCAACTTTTGGGAGCCCGAGGGGGAGCCCCAGTGCGCCCACATAAAGGGGGGGGGGGGGGGGTTAAGGGGGGGTTTTCAAGGGCTTTTCCCCAATCTTTTTTTACCACCGCAAATAAAACCCTTGCCAAATTTTGGGAGCCCCAGGGGGAGGCCCCGGGGGCCCACAAAAAAGGGGGGGGGGGGGGGGGTTAGGGGGTGGCTGTCGAGGGCTATGCCCGAGTCTGTTGTTACCAGCGCACATACAACCCTAGCCAACTTATGGCAGCCCGAGCGGCAGCGCCAGTGCGCGCACATAAAGGGGGTTGGGGGGGGATGCGTAATACGTATGCGTAATACGTGGTGCGTAAGCCCTCTCCGACAACTTGGGCGTGCAAATGCGTAATACGTATGCGTAATGCGTGAGGCGTAACCCCCGTCGGCCGCCACTTCTCACTCGAATCCGGAATGCGTGTGCGTAGTACGTGGTGCGTAGGCCCTCTCCGACACCTTGGGCGTGCGAATGCGTAAAACGTATGCGTAATACGTGAGGCGTAACCCCCGTCGGCCGCCACTTCTCACTCGAATCCGGAATGCGTGTGCGTAGTACGTGGTGCGTAGGCCCTCTCCGACAGCTTGGGCGTGCGAATGCGTAAAACGTATGCGTAATACGTGAGGCGTAACCCCCGTCAGCCACCACTTCTCACTCGAATCCGGAATGCGTGTGCGTAGTACGTGGTGCGTAGGCCCTCTCCGACACCTTGGGCGTGCGAATGCGTAAAACGTATGCGTAATACGTGAGGCGTAACCCCCGCCGGCCGCCACTTCTCACTCGAATCCGGAATGCGTGTGCGTAGTACGTGGTGCGTAGGCCCTCTCCGACACCTTGGGCGTGCGAATGCATCAAGCGTATGCGTAATGCGTGAGGCGTAACCCCCGTCGGCCACCACTTCTCACTCGAATCCGGAATGCGTGTGCGTAGTACGTGGGGCGTAGCGCGCCTTGAGAGGCACACCCCGATCGGCCGAAGGTGGATGCAGAAGACAGATTCGTAATACGCAAGACATTTGTAGCTCCCTCAGGCGCCACTTGGCTCGGGCACGACACCGAAATACGCGACGTCTGGCCGACGCACTATGGATCGCGGGCGCGTATTTACATAACATGGCCGATCTGTGCATTCTGGGCGATTACATATGCGTAGCAGTACTGACGACCTCCCGCTCGTGTGGTACGTGGAAACTTTGGGAGGCATTGCGCCGCCCACCAAGCAGTTCCTCCACGTGTTCGCCAAAAGCAAGAGGCAAACGGCTTCTTACGCTCGGCCCCAGTGGGGGGTGCCCGCGCCGCCTAGCTCTGCGGACGGCGACGGCCCCCCCCACCCTTCATGTAATCAACAACAAATGTAATCATGTTTTAGGTATGTTGTTGGCAAATCAAGACACAGAGCTCACACAGGATTTCACAGCGGGAGGAAAGCGGCGAGTCGCAATTCCAGGGGTCGTTGTGGCGGGCCACCCTGTCCAGAGAGGCATGGATGCCAATCTGGGGTCTCTCGACCGAGTCTATGAAGCCCTGGCCGCCTCCCGGTGGTGGCAGAGGTTATGGAACCAAGCGACGGAGATGGTGCGGGGGTACGGGTGTTCCAGGGGGTCACGACACGCACCGACCCTTCACGAACCGAAAGGCTGCACCCGGGGAAGGCACAGTAATCCGGGCACGTGTTGGGCGCCCCATTCCGTTTAGGGCTAGGTCGGCTCAGGGCCCCGTCCACTTCCCTCCCGCCTGGCGCGTGATGATGAGGAGATGCCACCCAGGCCAGCCAGGACAGGGGCGGGGGGCGAGGGCGGAGGGCGGGAGTCCCCACATTCGCGCTGACGTGGGATCGCTTGTCATGTGAGAGAGTGCGTGGTGTTCTTGTTTCGTATCCGCTTTCTCTCTCTCGGTGTACCTGTGTTAGTGCAGTGCGCGGCCGCCCCTTCTTTTTTCTTGCGCTCGCCGCAACTGGACGACGACGCCGGCCGAGGATTATTGTACTCACAGCTCCGACGGCTCGAGCGTTTCCTGATGACCATCACCGTCTACTATTGGGGCCCTGCCGGCGGGATGAACATGTACGGGCGAGCCATCGGCATTTACGCGACGCTCAAGGCGGCCGGCGTCGCGTACGCGGAGGCCGGGCCGAACGCCCGGCCAGAGCTCAGCTCCTTTGCTCCGCCCGCCGTCGACTTGGGCGATGGCGTAGTCGTGGGCCAGGCGCCGGCTTGTCTGACTGCGCTGGGCGAAAAGTTCAACTTAGGCGGCGCGACCTTTGCGGAGAAGGCGAGAGTGCAGCAGGATCGGGCTCTCTCGCTGGACATGCGGCTCCTCACCGTGTGTATGCATCTCACAGCTGCCCACGCACGCGGCAGGCAATGCTCGACTTTAATGACATCTTCGGCGAGCACGCCAAGTTTGTGGACGACAAGGAACGCAAGGACAAGTGGTTCTCATACCTCGACAAGAAGATTGCCGCTGGCGGCACGGGCTGGGCCGCCGGCACCGCGTCCCCGACGATTGCCGACTTCCACGGCGTGTTTGCTTTCGAGTGGGTGGTCAAGAAGCAGATCGACTTTTCGGAGTACAAGAGCCTGACGGCCTGGTGGGACAAGATCAAGGCCTTCCCCGCCGTGAATGAGCTCTATGCCTCGTGCGTCGACGGGCGGACGATGATTCCCTGATCGCACGCGTCCGCACGCTAGCAAATGCCTTTCGTTTGCATTGGTCGCGGTTCCAGGTTTCGGGCTCCTTGCCGTCGCTAGCTCTAAAACTCGGCCCCTACCTACCTATCTGTGTCTCAACGGGTCCGAACAGGTTCTCGGCACCGGGCACCGCCTCGGTATACAAAATGCGCCTGCGGGCGGACCCTCACAGATCACAGATCACCTATCTGTGTGTGGCACGGGCGGGGACCTGTTCCTTTTTACCCATCTCACAGCAGTAGAGAGAAGAGAGGTGTCCGTTTTTATTTATTTTGAGATCTGTCTGGAGTTCTGGAGAGAGCCGTCGCGGCCCGGGGCGGTGCAGGGACGGGCCGAGAACCGCAAAGCAAAGGCTTTGGCAAAAGGAACGCGCGATTTGTGAGACGCGGCAGCGAGGACAGCGGAAAGCTGTGCGACCGTGGTCGTGCGCGCAGCACCCCTCGAGTATGATGATTGGCGCGTCCGCGGCGAGCTCACTTTGCCACTGGCACTGCATGCCGGTCGAGCCCGGCGACTTGGGCGCGAAGCGCTCTCCCCCTAACGGCACGGCGGCTGGTCAGGGAGGAAAACACGCACCACCTACCTACCCACTGGAGGTCTCTGGCACCTTATACCCCGCCCTACCTAACACCTCCGTGAAGACGCCCCCCCGCAATAGGTAGGTAGGTGGGGCACGGAGCCTGGCGGTTGGCGCCCGCGATAGGTAGGGTAGTACATGATGGAAAAAAGAATTTCGCCGCTCATGCCATGCTCATAACTCGGCACGCTGCAATCCTCGCCGCCGCCGGGCTGCTGCTGCTCACGCCAGTCGCGCTGCTGCTGCTGCTCACGCCAGTCGACTTGCTGTTCAGGCTCTGCTGTCAGGCTGTCAGATACGTGCTGTCAGACTGTCAGAGAAAGTGCTGTCAGCGCTGTCAGACTGTCGGGCACTGTCAGGCGCTGTCCGGGGTTTGCTGTCAGACTGTCAGCACCCAGGGCGCGCAGCAGGGGTCTTTTGCAATGCGCGCGTGCGGGCGCGAGCGCGCAGGGGAGGGCAGGGGAGGGGCACCTGGGAGCGGCGAACCGTGGATCGCATGCGGTGGCGCGCGTGCTCGTATCGCCATGGCTCGGACCGCTCCCGCTCCCGCTCCCGTATCCGCGCACGATCGGTGGTGGTCAGGGGGCGGCCTCCGAACTCAGGCGCGTCAACACCGCAGAGAGGGCGGACCGCGCCGAGACGGTGGCACACCCACCGTGCACGCTGCTGTGCCCCGCCACATCAGCTGCTGTATCACCGGAACCCGCGCGCGCGCCCGCCCCGACAATGAGAGCCCGTGCGCCCCGGTCGCGATCCACGGAGTGCGACAGTGTCAACTGTCTCCCGTCGCGGCGCGCCCTTTCTTTTTCAGAGGGAGATACCACAAAAGAATCGGCGAGTGGCTTTGGCAGAGGTTGTGGTGTGGTAGCGGTGGAGCGATCGAGAGGGTCCGGCGTCCGGGCGGAGAGTGCAGTGAGAGACTACACCCGTCAAGCTCAGCGCGATCAGCCTGGGGGCCCGCCCCAGGCTACTGCGTACTTACTGGGGCCTGGCCCTGTGGATTCGAGTAGATCCCACCCGTTGAACCTCCGAGCAGCCACCAGCTTCCTCCTTCCCTAAATATGGTGGTGGGGGGGGGAGGGGGGGGGGACCGGCGCTCACACGTTTCCGGTGCCGGTGGTTTGGATTCGGGTTCGCATTCGCCACGGTAAAACCTGTTCTCGCAGCGAATTTCGGGTCGCGAGCGCATCTTCCCGTACCGCACAAAGGTGTTTCGTACCACCGCCCGACTCTAGGGTACCGCCCGGATATTTCGAGAAGCACGAGGGTGGCGGGCGAAGAGCCAGCAGGAAAAAAGGCTTTTGGCAATTCACAAACACAAATCTCTCTTCAGAGGCACAGCAGAGGCATGGTGGGCGGCTGGCACCCCCAGGCTGTGCGTGCCGTCTTTCTCGCAGGCGCTTATCTCTTTCTCGGTGAACTCCGTAGACTGCGGCGACGTGCGTTGCGGAGCGCCCGCTGCACGCTCGTCGTGAAGCTAGGAGGATCGGCTGTCACCGACAAGACGTGCTTCGAGACCGTCCGTGTTGCAGCTCTGCGAGAGACGGCGTGCGCGCTATCGCGGTCGCCGCTCCTCGCCGGCACGGTGCTGGTCCATGGCGCGGGCTCGTTTGGCCACTTTCACGCTCGGGAGCACGGTGTCTCGCGCGGCACGGCGCACAGCGCCTTCTCGTGGCGCGGCTTTGCGCTGACGAGATCGTCGGTCACGCGGCTGAACGGCATCGTCCTCACCGCGCTCCTCGAGCAGGGGATCGCGGCCTGCGGCCTCCCGCCCTTCCCGCGCTGGGTCTTGTGCGGCGGTGCGCTGACCGACACAGACGCGCCGCTCGGCGAGGTGCGCAGCCTGCTCTCGCGGGGCGTCGTGCCTGTGCTGCACGGCGACGCGGTCTTTGACGAAGCCCGCGGCGCCGCCATCCTGTCTGGCGACACACTCGTCGAGGAGCTGTGCGCAGCCTAGACGCGGGAAGGACACGTGACCTTGAGGAGAGGCAGGACTCGGCTGTCCTCTCCGCCACTCGCGCCGCACTCCCCACGCACTCCCCGCCACCATCGCGCCACTCCTTCCGCACCCGCAGCTCTTGCACTCGAGACGCTAAGATCGGGTGCTCGACACACTTCTCACAGCCTCAGCGGCGAGAGCCCCCCTCTTCCAGGTGTGCCGCTCTCCACCCGACCCGCGCCGTCTTCCTCACAGGAAAGCCGCGCCTCCTAGACGCCTGCTAGAAGGCTCCTAGAGGGCTCCTAGAAGGCGCCTGCCGCCCTCCGCCCGACCCGCGCCGTCATCCCTCACAGACGTGGCCGGCATCTTCGACCGCCCGCCCGGCGAGGACGGCGCAGCGCTCCTCCGCCGGATCGTCGTCGGCCCGTCTGGCGAGGTGGTCGACTTGCCGCAGATGCGGACGGCGGCGCACGACGTGACGGGGGGGGTGGCCGCCGAGCGGAGCGCGCCCGCAGCTCTGCACGCCTTTCCGTCGTTGATTCCGGCCGCGCTTCTCGTGTGTAGGTGGCGGCGAAGCTGAGCGCCGCAGCTCGCGTCGCGGCGGGCGGGGTGCCAGTGGTCATTGTCGAGGCGGGGACTGTGCACGCCGAGGCTGCGCTGAGAGGCGAGTGGCCCGAGCGCTGCACAGTCGTCACAGGCCGTAGTGAGACGCGGCATACACGTGCATGTGCTTGATGCTTGTTGCTTCGGAGTAGAGAGACTACTGTAGCCGGTGAGCGGTGTACAGTACACAATACGCGCGCGGGGGTTGCGGAGAGGTGTTGGGTACCTCGCTCGTCGCTGTACACAGTAGAGTATCACCCCGCTGGGAACGTCCGGGTGTTGGAAGTAAAGATATAAACATTCTTTTTCATGCGTGAATTACGCGGACAAGGGACATGCTGGACCAAAACGTGATGGAAGGATAATGCGACGGGGTCGTCGGCGCTCGGGTGACGGGGTCGAGACACAAAACACACTCCGTTGTGCGCTAGAGGAGCGTTGGACCGCGCCCGCGGGCCGACCCGCGACCCCGATGCGTGCACGCAAGAAGACACGGGGAATCCACACAGGAACCCCGACAGAACAAAATGCGCCGAACGGCTCCCGTGCGCATGCGGCAGTGCTCGAGAGATGCGGCTGCTCGCGGGGGCGCGGCGCATGGGCATGCTCCTGGCCCACGCCGACCATGCGGGGCGGCGGGCGATCCTTCCTCTTTGGCCGCCTGCCCGCCTCCTGGCTACAAGAAGTGCAGGGCCACGACAGCAGCCACCGCCAGCACAGCGGCGAGCGGCGGGCCGTCGCGATCGGCCGCCTCCTCCGCCAGCGCCGCGCTCTCCGTGGCCGCCGCCGCGTTCACCTGCGCCGCCGCCGCCGCCGCCGCTCCCTGGGGGACGTACCCCTTGGAGGCCCAGAGGTGGCCGTGCAACACCAGCTCCGTCTCCTCAGTCACCTAAGACCAGGGGGCAAGGGGGCAGGTGCAGGTCTGCGCACAGAACGAGGTGGTGGTGGAGCGTGGTGCCGCGCGGCCCTCGCATCTCCACGTCAAAAGACAGGAGGTGGCAGGGCAGCTCAAGTGGAAGGGGCCCGGTGCGCGTGAGGTGTGTCTGGCTGGCTGGCTGTCTCTCCCTCGCCTCGAAGAATGGCGCGTCCGACGACTGCGGTACAAACCCTTCCGGCATCGAAGGCCGCGCCGCCGCCGCCGCCTCCGCCGCCGCGAAGCCTTGGGGCACGTACCTGTCCAAAGCCGGAGGGTGTGAAGAGAGAGGCCGTTCACAGAGCCGCCGCCGTCCCTGCCCCGCCAACACACCCGGCCGGGGCAGACTGCTTGGGCGGCGTGAGCAGCGCGGCCGCCCGCCGCCCCCGCCGTGCGATCGCGGCGGCACCCTCCACCTTGAGCGACGCAGCCTTGGCGGCGACCGCGTCCGCCGCCGCCGCCGCCGCCGCCGCGCCCTGAGGGACGTACCCCTTGAGCGGCGCGGGCAGGAAGCCGGGCAAGATGACTTCCGTCTCCTCGCTCACCTCGAAGAAGGCGAGCCGCGTCGCGTCCTCCGCCTCGTCGTACGCCTCGGCGTCGGCGTCCTCCGCCGCGAGGAAGAAGGCCGCCTCGTCCTCCTCCTGCGGGGCAGGGCTTGGGCGTGAAGGGCGCATGACCTCTTCGCGAGGGAGACGGGACGTGGCACCCCCTTGGAGGATGTGGCACCCCCTCGCGCCAGCGCACCTCGTCCTCTGCCGCGAGGGCCGCCCCGCCCTCCATCGCCTCGGCGCGAGCCGCCGCCTCCTGCTTGTGCGCGGCAACGTCGGCCAGCCAGTCGTCGTGCTCGGCCCTCGCCGCGGCGGCCTCGTCCAGGAGGCTCTCCACCTCCTTTGCCGCCTCTGCCACGTCGACCTGGAAGGAGAGCGCCTCTGCCTCGTCGAAGACCTCAGCCACCCAGCGATCGGCTGCGTCGGCTGCGTCGGCGTTTGGAGAGGAGAGGTGTTTAGTGATGCGGAGAGTGATCTCGCGTTTGTTTCCTGTGACCTTGAGGCCGGCCTTCTTTGCCAGCTGCACAAGCTGTTTCTTCGAGAGACTCTGAATCTCGGACGCTGCCGCTGCCGGAAGGCGGGCCTCGGCTTCCATGGAAGCCGCGCGCACGGCGGCGGGCTTTGTCAGCAAGGGCCTCGGCGCGGAGGGAACGAAGGCGGTGACGCCCGCGGCGAGCAAGAGGAGGACACCAAACATCACCGTTGGCTGATGACTGATTGGAGTGCGAAAAAAAAGCCCCAGCCACAGGGTACCCTATGAGGTGGCTAAGTGAGGGTCTCTGACCCACCCAAATAGTGCTCTTTAACTAACGGAGGCCTTTGGGGGCGACCCGGGGGCACCTCGGGGTCGCAGTAGCCCCTGACGGTCGAAACCGGACCCCGGACCGGTACACGTTTCGTGCGGTGGTGGAGTGGGACCGGATTCTCGCCCTTCTGGGCGCGGGGACGGGGCCGGGGGTGGCAGGCAAGTAGTAATATGCCTTTAGAAGGTCTCGAGGGACACACACACTCTCTCGCGCCCCCCCACCCACACGCTCTGGTGGTGAGGGCTCGACGCGCCCAAAATTCGGCGAAATCTACGCCGGACCCGCGACACATGGATCGCCCCACGTCGCGCTTCAGATCAGCCCCACATATGCCACTCTTTGTGTCGCCAGAGAAGCTGGTGCGCAGCCGAGCCCTGCACGCTCTGCTCCGCCAGCAATCAGTGTCATCAGCAACGGACACCTCTACTAGGAGATGGGTAAAAAGGAACAGGTCCGTGTGTGTGTGTGTGTCCAAACAAGGTACAAGCTGCCGAGCCCAAATCACTGTGAGAGTCGTGATTTCTTGTTGGTTAATAAAAATCTCTCTCCCAACATTTGACCTTGGGAGTCGGTCACTTGAAGACAGGTAATTGAGCTTTTTGGTATTTCGGATTGGGACTTGACCATTTGTGCATGTGACTCCCTGGTCTGTCATCAATCAAGCGACCTGGTCTGACGACCTGGTCTGCCAACCACCGCCACCACTGTGTATTTGGCTGTGTATTTGCTGTGTATTTGCTCACAGGCCAAAAACACAGTGTATTTTGTGTATTTGCTACCCCGACCCTGTGTATTTATAACATCTAGGTTTCTTAAGCGCCTGAGCTCCTCCCGAGGCTGAGCTCCTCCCTGCATCTCCGCAGAATATCCCTTGTAACGTGAGAGAGTGCGTTGTGTTCTCGTTTTCTATCGCTTTCTCTTGTTTTCCCACCCGGGGGGGGGCGGGGGGGGGGGACCCCACATACTTCGTTTGCTCCCAGACAGTTGTCCCGCTGCAAGCAAGGTGGCTGCTCCCTCTGTTCTCGCCGCGCCCTGCGCCGCACTTCTCGCCGCGACCTGCGCCGCAGTTCTCGCCGCGCCCAGATGGGCAATTGCTCCTCCTCGCCCGCGGGCCGCGATCGAGACTCCAAGGACAGCGACGCACGGCGAGCGGCGCCGCCGCCCACCCGCTCCCTCACCTTCAAACTCAACCAGCTCGACGAGCAGCTCAGCAAATCGGCTCCTTCGCCGGATGCGCAGCTGGCCGAGCGACTCGCCGAGCCCAAGAAAGTGCGCGAAATGTGCGGCCCGGCGGCATTCGTTGGCGGCCTGCATGCCGTGGTGGGCGCGGCAAACACCGCAGTCATGGAGACGATGCAGGAAGAGCACACGATCCGGCACGACAGCCGGGTGCCCTTTGTTTCGGATCACCTCCTCATCGAGACGACGAGCGAGACGGAGTTTTGGTTCGTCCTCGACCCCGTCGGCGGCCTCGGCAGGCTCGGTCTCGAGCGCTGGCCAGAGGAGGGCCCCGGTGCGCGCCGCAGCTTCGCCAGCGGCCGCTCGTCCGAGGAGCTGCTGGGCGCCGCGAACAAGCGGCAGCCGCTGCCGCACGCGGCCTTCTGCGAGCGGATGCGAGGCCACAACGAGATGCTGCGGCAGCACGGGCTGGCGGAGCTGCTCGAGGAGGAGCTGATCGGCGGCCGCCTCTTCACGGGGCCGATGAATGCAAAGTACCAGGCGGCGCTGCGGGCGCTCGATTCGGCGGACGCGGGAAGGCGGCGCAAGTTTGTGCAGCTCTGCTCCGACCCGCAGACGCTGTCGCAGTACGAGGCTGCGGTCGAGGCCGACCCGGAGGGGGCGTGGGCGGCGGCGCGGATGCTGTGCACCAGCTACTCGACCACTCTGCACGTGATCAAGTCGCTCCTCCTCCGGCTTAGCAAGCTCTCGCGCGCCACGCCCGTCTACCGCGCCCTGCACGGCGAGGCGCCGCTCGCACCTCACTCGCGAGAGGGGGGGGGGGGGGCACGGCTGCAGCGGCGAGGCGAGGCGAGCCTTGTTCGGAGCCGCTCTTCTAGGCGCCGCCGGCCGCGTTTTGGCGCGAGAGGTTCGGCGCACGTGGCGGTATCGGCCCCTAGATGCGATGATAGATGCGACGACTGCCAGGCCCACACCCCCGCACGCGGCGAGACTCGCGCTCGCGTGTCTTGGACTGCACTGCAGCCGCCTCCTCCCGCTGCACGACCTCCTCCCTCTTCTCCTCTGGCTCTCGTGTGCTGATGGAGCGTGCGCTGATGGAGCGTGTGCTGATGGAGCGTGTGCTGATGGAGCGTGTGCTGATGGGGCGCAGGTGTCGACCCAGGCTTCTTCTCCGCGTGCCCCGACCGCGCCGCCGCCGCCCTCGCCGCCCGAGGCTCGCCGCGTGTTTGGGGTGCCAGCCTTCCGCCACCCTCCCGCGAACCTTCTCGGAACTGTCCGGCAGGCTCGCAACACGCTCCCGGCGTGCTGCTCGAGATTGAGCAGGGCCTGGTCAGCCGCGGCGCAGACTTGGGCTGGCTGTCGCAATACCCCCCTCCCGACGGCGCGTGCGAGCTCGTGTTCCCGCCCCACACGGCGCTCGACGTGGTTGAGGTGGGCGAGCGGCTTGGGGGGTGGGGGGAGGGGGGGGGGGGGGTCTGGATCCTCTCGGCCACCTCTCGGCTACATCGGCTGCCTCTGGGCTGCCTCTGGCTGTCTCTCGGCTGCACTTCGGCTGCACCTCGGCTGCACTTCGGCTGCACCTCGGCTGCACCTCGGGCGGTCCCACCTGCAGGTGGTCGACGAAGGCGAGACGCTGGTCTTCCGCTGCCGCGCGACGGTGAGCCTGTGCGGCCCCCACCCGTCGGCAAGTCCGCGGGCCCCGGCACGGAAGCTTCTCGGGACGTTCGCATAGGTCAACCGGAGCGACCTCGCCATCGACAAGGTTGCGGGCAGTACCCTCGGGCGGTCTCGGGTGATCTCGGAGGATCAGATTGCCTCTCGCCATCGACCAGGTTGTGAGCACCAAGCGGGACGGGCTCAACTGCATCATGACCTCGATGAAGTTCTCTCTGATGCGAGAGATTGCCGACGAAGCCGACGCGCGGCTCGCTGCTCAGGAGATCACACGAGAGCAGATCTGAGACCGCACGAGATCACACGAGATCACACGAGATCACACGAGATCACACGAGATCACACCAGAGGCCGAGTCGCGCGCCCAGGCCAGCTTCCCCTGTTCGCCCTCCCTCCTTTTCCTCTTCTGCACCTCTCCGCACCTCTTCTGCACCTCCCCTGCACCTCCCCCCCCCTGCACCTCCCCTCCCCTCTCTCCCCCGCTCAGGAGTTCCACGCCCTCGTCCTCGGCCCCAACGATGACGGCCGCCCCTTCGCAACGGTCCGCTCGTGGGCAAACATCAGCGGGGTGTGCCGCACCGGCACGTTCCCAGCGCGGGACGGCTACAGCGGCGGCGACAGCGGCGGCGACAGCGGCGGCGACAGCGGCGGCGACAGCGGCGGCGACAATGGCGACAGCCGCGGCGAGTCGCCGCCCTCCCCGCTCCTCCGGCGCGACGCGGACCCGCGCATCTACAACGATGGCGCCGAGGCCGCGGAGACGCTGCGGGCCACGCCTTCCTTCGTCTGCAATGGGGGGCCAGCTCTCCTCTGTAGGCGTCACGTTCTCCGAGACGCTGCGGGCGATGCAGGCCGCGCAGCAAGAGGTGCTGCAGCGGCGGAAGAGGCACGCCTTCATGGTGGCGCCGCGGCCGGGCGCGCGCAGCGTCGTCCCGATCTCCGAAAGGAACCTTCTCGGAGCTTTCCCGGAACCTTCCCTCCTTGCAGGCGCGAGCGCCGTTCCCCTCGCCGACCTCGTCCTCGCCTTCGCCTCGGCGGAGCTGGAGAGGCTCAAGTCGCGCGACGGCGCGCCCGGCTTCGCAAAGTTCGCCGACGCGCGGCTCGCTGCCCTAGATGCGGGACGCAGATCCCAGATCTCCCCAGATCTCCCCAGATCTCCCCAGATCTCCCCGGATCTCCCCGGATCTCCCCAGATCTCCCCAGATCTCCCCAGATCTCCCCAGATCTCCCCAGATCTCCCCAGATCTCCCCAGATCTCCCCAGATCTCCCCAGATCTCGAGGCTCGAGACGGCACGTACCCACGCGATGCATTGAATACACGGCACGACACACCGCACTCGCGCTGACGCCGGTGTGCTGACGACGCAGGCTCGTCACAGGGCGCCCTCTCGAGGCGGCGCTCGGCAACGACACCCGTAGATGCCGATCCCCCTCCCGGCTAGCGGCTGTGGAGGCCGCCACGCCGCTGGAGCACGCCGTACGGTGACACCATCCACGAGCACAACGTCACGAGCACAATGGCCGTGGGCAGGTCAATGCGTGATGCCGTCCTCACCGCCCGCCCCCCCCCCCCCCTCTGCCTCCTGCGCGCAGGCATCAACCGGTACCTCGGCGTGGGCGACAAGTCCATCTGGCTGGGGATGGGGCGCGGGCTCGATGCGATTCGCGACGAGTTTGCGGCGAGCGGCACCGAGGACGACCTGGTCTGCCTCGAGTACGTGCTCGAGGGCACCGCCGGCTGCCACCCGAGAGAGTGGCAACACTCTGGCGGCAAGCAGATGGACGCCTTCTACGAGGGCAGGGAGGAAGACGGCAGGCGCGGCAGGCCGCTCTCGTACTTTGTCGAGCACCCGCAGGCGTGCGAGGCTTTAGATGGCGAACGCACATCCCCGGACTTCCTTAATGCCGCCAGGCGCTGGACAAGACACGTCTTCACCGCGCCCCTGTCCCCTCCGCCTCGCGGCGCAGGCTCGCGAGGCGGCCCTCCTGCCGGAGCACGTGGTCGCGCTAAGACTGTACACCACCGCCGCCTTCAAGAGCATCAACGACCCGCTGCGCAACCGCAGCGGCGCCCCGCCCCCCCCCCCCCCCCTTGGTCACGGTCGCCGTACACGAGTCGCGCCGTCCGCTGTCTAGCGTCCGCCGCTCGTGTGCAGGCGCGCACCCGTTCCCGGTGACGGTCGCCTTCATCAACGACGGCATCAAGAGGCTGCGCCCCGTCGGGGCAGGCGCCGCACCTCTCTCGACAGCCCCTCTCTGCACCTGGCCTCGGGCCCGCTCCTCTAGGCTGCGCGCGGTCGGAGCGGGCGCGGCCGACGCGTCGGAGCGGCGCGACTTTTGGCGCGGGCTGCGGAACGTCGCGCTTCCGGACGGCTTCCACCAGACGGGCGGCACCGAGTACGCGCCCCTCTCGACCTCGTCCGACCTCGAGGTTGCGCTGCACTACTCGGACGCGGCGCAGGAGCGGCTGCTCTTCAAGCTGACCACGGCGTCTTTCCTCGAGCGCGGCGCGTCGCTGCAGTTTCTCTCCGCCTTCCCGGGCGAGGTCGAGTACCTGTACCCGCCCCTCACCTTCCTCGACCCGACCGGCAAGGTGGAGACCATCACCACGACGTGCGGCGTCAAGTTCTCCGTCATCGAGGTCCAGCCGAGGATATGAGAGGCAAGTGAGTGAAGACAAGTTGCGGAGCCTTTGATTGTATGTAGACTAGATGCTGCTGTACCCACACCTCTTCGCGTATATACCGTACTTTAGGAGTGTTCGTTTTGTGCAGATAAGAGATGCGTGCGTAAAAACTCGTAGAGCCTTAGCTCCGCGCCGCGTAGGAGAGGCGCTGTACGACCCGTTACTGATACGTGTAATCTCTCGCACATTTTGATCGATCCCGCGCGAAGCTCGCGGCGAGACGTTTCTATTTTTCCTCCATTTGAGGATTGAGCTATCTCGTCCTGAAAGACCATTGCACGCTACTGTAGTGAGCGACGGTTCGGCGGCGCGCTACGCCGCCGCGGCGGCGGGAGCGGCGGCGGGCAGGCCGAGCAGGACTCGGTCGAGCCTCGCAAAGTCGTCCACCAGCGCGAGCAGCGGGAGCAACGGCGCGCCGGCGGCGAGCGGCGACGCCGCGAGAGTGGCCGCCTCGGCGGGCGCCACCTCGCAGCCGCAGTTTGCCGCGCAGCGCACGCCGACCACGCGCAGCCCCGCCCCCTGCGCGGAGCGGATTCCCGAGAGCGAGTCCTCAAACGCGACGCACTGCGCCGGCTGCAGGCCGAGCCTGCGCGCCGCCTCGAGGTACGGCCATGGCTGCGGCTTGTGCTGCGCGCAGTCGGGATCGTCGCCCGCGATGATGAAATCGAACGCGTCCACCAGCCCGAGCGCGGCGAGAGCCTTCTCAATGTACCCACGCGAGCCGCTCGAGACGACGGCGCACCGCAGCCCCGCCGCTCTCAGCTCGCGCACGAGCGCCACGGCGCCGGGCGTCGCCTCGAGGCGGCCGGCCGCGATGTGCTCCTCGAAGAGCTCGGCGCGCCGGCGCAGGAGGTCGTCGATCGTCTCGCCGGGCTTCAGCCGCCCCGCGGGCAGGTGCGCCTCCATGATGTCTCGCGGCGCGCGGCCGATGCACGCGTCGGTCCAGTGCTGCTCGCTCAGCTCCACGCCGAGCACGGCCGAAAACGACTTGCGGTGCACGTCCTCCGACTGGCACAGCGTCCCGTCAAAGTCCCACAGAGCGGCGAGGCAAGGCGGCGCCGGCGACGGACCAGCGGAGCCACCACGCAGCGCGAGGGCGGCGGTAAGCCGACGGTCGGCCAGCAGCGATGGCACCTTGCTCGGCGCAGCGAGAGCGCACCCGCAGAGGGCGGCGCTGAAAATGGTGCGCTTGCGGGCGATCATGCGGTGCGGCTTCGGAGACGCGGGCGCGGAGCGACACTTGGCCAACCCACCGGGCAGGAGGAGGAGGAGGGCTGTCTGCTATAGCCGCAGCCACTCCCAGCTACTCGTGTGAACCGGTCCTACTTCGCTACGACGCTGCGGCGGGCGTGGGGCGTGCACTTTGCGCGCGAGTTCGCGCGGCACCGCATCCGACGCGTGGTGTTCGTGGGGGCCCCGCGGCGACAGCCGGGCAGGCCTCTCGCGACGGCCGATGGAGACTGGCCAGCGCTGTCGGCGGGCGAGTTTGCGGCGCACGCGCTGCGCGTAGGCGGCGCGTGGGCGGGCGGCCCGCCCGGCCGTCGGTGAGCACCGGACGCGAGGGTCGGTCGGCTCTTAACTAGCTGTATATAGTCGCGATCTGCCGGCGTGCGTATGAGCTCACTAGCTAGAGCTCACACTAGAGGCCGTCATCGCATTCGCCTTCCTGGGACCCAGCGCTGACTTCTGACTGTCGTTGCTGTCTCTCCCCCTTCTCGACTGTCTGTGCTTGTGCGTCTTGGGTCCGGAGTTGTGCGTTTATGTGAACCTCTCACAGGCCAGCGCACAGCGCCAGGAGGTATTTTCTGGGTGAGAACGGCGTTCTCTGGGTAAGCTCAGCTGTGAACTTCCCAGTTGTTTGCTCTTGCTTGCGCGTGGCCCTTGCGTGCACGCCCAAGCTCGAGCGGCATCACGCAGAGCGAGCTCTGCGCAGGTCCCGCGACCTTCTCGGGCAGGAGCCCACCTCTCCTTCCCTCCGTGCGCCCAACGATATGGGCAAATCCGCGCCGAAGCGCGCTTCCGACGCTGACCAAGACGAACGGCCCGCAGAGGCCAAAGCTGGCTCTGGGCAGGAGCCCCCCCCCTCGTGTTCTCAATAACAAGGCTGTGAACAGAGTTCGTACTCCGAGCAGGAGGGAGCTCCGCAACTCGAGATCCCTCGAGAGTTCACGCGGAGTCGGCTGGGGCTATACCATGGCCACCCGGGCCACCATCCTCAGGGCGCCTCCCTCCATCCCGAGCAGCGCACCCGCCATCTCCGCCTCCGCCATTCCCATCAGTCGCAGGAATCGGGGGAGGGCGGCCGGCACCGCTCCGTCGGGAACGGCCTCCTCCGGGACCGCTCCAGCAAGCTCGTGTAACGCTTGCAGCGATGCTGCCGCATCTTTCGCCTCCTCCCCGTCCCCTACAACCTTGTCCGACAGGGGCAGGAATGGCATGGAGTCGGGCTGCCAGCGCACCACCCTCCATGGTGCCATGAAGTCCACCACCCCGCAGCACGTCTGCGCAGTCCACGCTAGCGTCCGCCGGTCCCCGCCCCCATACCACGTGGGGGCCCATCTGGTCGGCGCGCCTGACCCTCGCCCCCCCGTCCCACCCGCCACGAATGCCAGCCGCCGTAGCTCCTCGGTGCCCACCGTCCTGGCCACGTCGTCCCTCCTCGGCGCAAAGAGGAGCACTCGGACGTCTCGAGGGTTCATTAGTCGGGCGTGACGGCGAAGCACTCCCGGTTGGCGGCACCTCGGTGGGCGGAGGGGGTCCTCTTCACCCCCTGCCCAAGCGTGGGTGTTCGCGTAAGCCGACTCCGTAGCGTTGGTCCATCCCGCCGCGTGACCAAAGGCGATCGTCCCGGCCGGGAAGAAGAGCACCGCGTCCACTGCCACCTCGGTGTTACTCAGGTTCTGGTAGGCGCGGAAGGACTTCGGCTCCCCTTCTCGCGGCGCCTCCTGGACGACCATCACCACCCGTCCGCCCGCCTCCGCCGTGGCCACCGCCTTCTTATACACTCTGGTGAGGGCTCCTCGCCCATGTTCGTTGACCGTGACCAAGACGTTGTGCGGCCACGGTTGTGACTCCCATCCGGACGAGGTGACGTCATCCACCTCCACCCCCCACTCCCCTCCCGACCACGCCCCCCCACCACTCTGGGTGCGGCCTCGAAGAGCGTCGACATAGTGAGCGCCGAGGTGAGCGCCTCGCCACTCAATCTGAACGCGTCCCTCAGCCACGCCCGCAGCTCCGGGACGATCTGTGCCACGATCCGCAGCGGGCCACGACCCCGCTCCCGGACCGCCTCGGAACACACCCGGACAGCCGCAGCGGGCAACCGCTGCGCTCCAGGCCACGTCCGACTCGCCCACACCGCAGCGAGGCAAGTCGCTCTCTCCGGAGTCATGCCGTGGCGCAGCCCCCCCGTGTGGACAGTCAGAACCGTGGGGTCCTTGCCCATCTCAAAGGCTTGAAGCTGGCGCCACACCCCCGCTGGGGGGCAGAATTCTTTCGTGTTCCGTTCAGACTGGACGCCGTCCCGCAACGCCGTTTGAGGTGCAGCGCCCTGCCGCGCCCGCCGCCCAGCGCAAGGGCCGGGGCCCCGCGCCGCTGAGCCCGCCCCCCGCCACTCCCTCTCCCTCCCCTCCCTCTCCCTCCCCGCCCGCGCGACGCGTGCAGGGGCTCGCGCCGCCGCCCGAGCCGCGCCTCCGCCCTCCCCCTGTACTCTGTCGCGGCGCGATCCCCGGCCAGCATGATTGCGCGCCACCGCGCCCGCGCCGCGCCCTGCCGCGCCACGCCCGCGCCAGGGCTCCGGCACTGCGCCGCCCGCTCCGCGCTGGAATTGCCCATGCGGCCGCCGCCGCATCCTAGGACGCGCGCCGAGAGGCGCTACATGGTCGACTTCAATGAGAGCGAGGGCGAGTCGGCTTTCTTGGTTGTGAGATCAACAAAGGGCGTCTGGTTCGACAACCCCCACGTGTTTCATCGGAGCCTCGCAAAGGTGCCAATCAGCTTTTGTTTCGCGGAGGGGGCCCAGGTTCAGACCGAGCTCGGGCCAACGGCTTCCGTCAAGGTCGGTGGCTACTTCGCTTCCAGTGCGGAGTATGAGGAGTGGTATCAGCGCCGCCGCGCGAGCCTGACGCTGCCGCCTTTGCTCGGAGCTGAGGTGCGCACTTTTACGCCAGGCTCGGCCTTGTCCCTACGGTGACCCCGTCTCCAAACATTTACGTTTCTCCCTCGCGCAGGCGTGCGGCGTCAAGAACGACGTCGTCGTGAAGGAGGAGGCCGCCGCCGAGGAGGCCGCCTCCGAGGAGCCCGTCGTCGCCGAGGAGTCCGCCACCGAGGAGGCGACCATCAAGCCCGCCGCCGCCGAGGTGTCCGCCGTCGCCAAGGAGGCCGCCTCCCAGGCCGTCGCCGAGGAGGCTGCCAAGGAGGTCGAGAAGCCGGCCAAGACCGTTTCCAACACGCCCGTCCCAGCGGCGAGCGCGCCGCAGCATTCTCCTGGCACTCCTCGCTCTCCCACCGGTAATAATCTCCCTTCCCGCGTGCCCCTATCGCGCTTGCAGGACACCACCTGCTACCCGGGCCTGCCCACGCCGATGGCGGCGGGGAAGAGCGGGCCCGCGTCGGCCCGCAGCGGCTCCGGACCGGGCTACGTGGACGGCGTCGAGGCTGCAGTCCGCCGCCTGGGCGAGAGCGTCAGCTACCAGGCTACGCCCGCCGACGGCAAGAAGTCGCCGTCGCCGGGAGTCCCCACCTCCGGCGGCATTGCGCCCGTGGCGCCCAAGCCCCTTGGCGCGGGCGCGGGCGCGGGGCAGGCTGAGGCCGAGGTCGCCAAGGAGCGCGAGCACTGGGAGGGGCGGCTCAAGAAGGCGAAGGCCGCGCTCGATCTCATTGCCGATCAACGGAAGAAGTGGGCGGACTTGCAGTCGCGGCGCTCGAGGAAGTGCCGGCGCAAGGCAAGGCGCTGGGGCAAGCCGAAGACTGGCAGGAGCCACGGTCGCGGCCGCGGCCGCCGCCCGGACCGGCGCCGCGAGCCGCAGACCACGTCCGGCAAGGCGCCATTCGCCGCTGGCACATGCGGCGCCGTCGCTGGCACATGCGGCGCCGGCGGTCGCGCCGCCCTCAAGGCGGCGGCCAACTGCGTGCAGGGCGGCTACACGAAGGCCGAGGGCGCCTTCCGGTGGCTGCTCCTCGTCTGCATGCCCGCCTTTGGCCACTGCGCGTCCGCCGTGCCTAGCCCGACGGCGGTGGCCTCGGCCTTCTCGTCTGCCTACGCCTCGGCGTCCTCGGCCTTCTCATCCGGCGTCGCCTCGGCGGCGTGCTCGGCCTTGTCGCCCGCCGTCGCCTCGAAGGCGTCCTCGCTCGTGAGCTGCTCGCCGCCTCTCATGCCCGCAATCGTGCTCATCCTCCTCGCCATCGCTTGCGGCGCCTCCTGGCCGACCGCGGCGAGCGGAAAGGGGGCTCGCGGCGCGGCGTGGGCCACCTGCCTTTTCGCCGCCACGGCGCGCCTCACCGGCACGGCGGCGGCGCCTGCAGGCTTCTTCGCGAGCGCCTTCTCGTGGCTCGCGGCGGGTCCGCCGCAGGTCGCCGCGGCCGCCGCCCTGGCCGTCGTCGGCACGGTGATGTGGCGCCGCAACTCAAAGGCCCGCCGCCTCGGCTGGTCCAGCCTGCTCGGCATTCTTCTCTGCTTGGCCACCGTCTCTGGCGGCTTGGTCACCGCCGCTGGCGGCGCCGCGCTTGCTGCATCCTCAACTGCGCTGCCAGACGTCACTGCGCTTCCGGCGAGCCCCGCCACCACCACCCCACCTCCGCACCCCGGATGCCCGCATCTCCAACCCCTTGCCGCCCTCCTTAGGCCGTCAATATGCACCCGAGGTGTGAGATGGAAAGCCGGTGCACCACAGACCAGCAGCGGCGCTTGTTTGACAAGCGAGTGATCGTGCCGCGAACGCTTCTGCTCCAGCGCGGGATTGTGAACCAGCTCGCCAGATTTGGGAGTGTGGTGCGCCAGGCATGCACCCAAGGCTTCCACGTTGCCGGCCTCCTGCTCACCGACATGCAGAAAGCCAACGAATCGTGTGATTGGCGCTCTATGGTTGCGCTGAAGAAAGTGCCAGAGTGCAACTCGACCCATATCGTGCCTTACAGCTGTGTCAAAGCAGCGAGCATGAGGGCGGAGGGCCGCGCATCGCCCATAGGGAAAGATCAGGCGCATGGTCTTGCCTCCTTCCTCAAAGTGAAGCCGCAGCCATGGTATGCGAGTGAGCGGAGCTTTGACCCGTACCGCGAGGCCTTCGTCGGCGTCCACCTAAATTTTGACGTCGATTGGATCGCCTTCATTTGCCACAAGGTTCCGCCAAACTGGCTGTGGGACGCGCAGGGATCCATCTCATTGGGGCTCTTCGATCAGCTGGGTCCGTACACTGGGTTTGTGCGAACATCCGTGATTACACCTATCGTGCGGCAAATGCAGCACCTCTTCAATGGCAGCCTTTCCGGCAAGCCCGTTGTTGTGGCAACCCCGCTGGGCAAGAAGTACAAAGAGACGGCTTGGATTTTGCGCGAATTTGAGGCAGAGGTGGCCCTCGTCCTTGGTGTGCGCGTCATATCGGGTAGCAGCAGGCTCGCAGAACGCGAGCTCAACGCCTTGGCCGATATGCATGTGCTGGGGCATTCCAAAGCCTTTCTGGGCTGGAGAGGCTCAACTTTCTCGAGATTCGTTACGGAAATGCTCCCGGCAGGCATCCCGGTTGCGACCTTTGCCCCCCCTTACGGCGACTGCGCTCGTCATGTGCGGCAGAAATCCGGGGATGACCTCTTTGAACAATTGGACCGATCGTTCCATGCCGCCGCGAAAAGAACAGCAACTTTCGAAACATCTTCCATAAGCCCTCAAGTGCGCCAATCCCAGCAGCACAGCCAGACAGCTTGCAACGGTGCCGTCGCCGGGTTTGAATACAGGGCAAGCTGGCTCGAGCGAGAGTGGACGACACGCCCGATTGACACTGGCAGCTACGGAATCTGCACCCTCGCCCGGAGCCCAGCTCAGCAGCGAGGGGTTGCACAGTGGTTGAATTACAGCCAGCGAACCTGGCTGACGGCAAAACACAGCCAGCGTTTGCGTGGGCGCTCAGAGCCGCCCGGGAGGTTGGAGGGCGACGTCCTCTCCTGGATGTCGTGCAGCGACAGGCGCGACCCGATTGAGCCACTGACCGGCGTCGCGCGACACCCAAGAGCGCCTATTGGGTGTGCGGACACGACAAAGGAGCAGGTACATGCAAACGAGTTCCTGTACGATATCTCGCACCTTGTGCTGCACAACGAGTGCGGCGGAGGCGCACGGGCGCCACCCGGCAGGAAAAGTCTCTTCTTCGACCTGGGCTCGGGCCATATGTCGAAAGCACCTGTCGATCTCCAACATGGGGCTGGACACTTTTCGTCGGTGCCGCTCTTCATTCAGCTCTACAAGCAAAACTGCATTCACTTTCATTCTTTGTACGCTTGGGAGGCGAAGCCCGTCTCTGAGGTGTCCTACTGGGACAACGTGCCTGCAGCTCTGTCAGAGAGGCTGTATTTCTTCAATGAGCCCGTCCGGCGCGTGACTTCGGAACCAGCAGGTTTCAACGCACTGCGGACATTGCAAGCGATAGCGCGCCCGATCGACTTTGTAGCACTGAAAGTCGACTTTGACACCCCGAGTGTGGAAGCTCCCTTGATGGAAGCCATTGTCGATTCGGAGGCCTTGTTGGGCCTCATCGACGAGGTCTTTTTCGAATACCACTTTAAGGTTCGGCCAGAATTTGGATGGGGAAATAGGATGAACGCGACGGTAAACGACGCGCTGCGGCTCATGCAACGACTTCGCGAAAAGGGTGTTCGGGCGCACTTTTGGATTTGAAACAGACTATGCGGTCCGCCAGCGTCGTGCCAACTTGGGCGAGCAGCTGTCCAATGAAGCTTCACATTATTTGGTCCCCGAACTGCCCCCCATGTAAAGGGAGCGGAACCTGAGTTGCACAGGGGTTGTGCGCCAGGCCCTCAGTAGACAAGTGTTGTCATCAACAGAGTACAGGATCTGACCTCACTCCTCCGTGAGGGCGCTGAGATGTGAGAACTCAAGGCTGAGTTTTTGCTCCACTTTCGATGCCGGCCACTCGCGCTCTGACCTCGGGGTAATGGTAATCTCTAGTCTTTTTTAGAATTCAAGCGAATGCATCTTCGATAACGGCACGGCGACCGTCCGTTCGGTTGGACGAAGTTCGGTTGGACGAAGTTCTCCCGGGTGGGGTAGGGGAGAAGTACTCTTGAGGGAAACATTGGACCGTCAGGCCCCGGGGACTGGCCAGCCCGACTAACACAACCTTCAGGAACACCATTTTGCGGTCCTGAGCGGCCGTCTCGGAGCAGAAGCTTCCCTGCCTCCTTAGCCATGTGCTGGTGAGCTCTGCGGCCCGTGTAGCGGCCCCTTAGCCCGTCGCCCGGGCACATGGCGCCTTCACACCGCTCCTCGCCCCCGTCTCGCAGGCCAAAATCGTCGACATCGCGTCGGCACTCTCTACGGCGCGCCTGGGCTCGCAGAGGGCGGCCTGGGCGGTGCAGGGTGGCTGGGCTGCCCCCCTCCCGCGGTGCGCCAAGCCTCGGGGGTCGGGGAGACCATCTCGGGTCGCCGAGGGGGCGGGTCGGACGCCCGATCCGGCTGCTGGCCGGAGGACGTCGCCGGTTCCGCGATTTTGGGAGCCCCAGTCGCCTCCAGCCGGGCCGAGCGGCGCCAGCTGGTAGCTGGGGCCGCAGGGCGGTCGGGCCGACACCGTATGCTAGTCGGAGTGGATTGTCTAGGGGTGTAAAGGTCGGTAGAGTGTCCGTTTGTAGCCTCCGGACGGGCTCTGGTCGGGAGCCCGCCGGGCCGGCTGAGGCTGTGTGTCCGTCCACTGTGGACCCAGTGATGGCCTAGGAGCCCTGCACGGACGGTGTTTATGCTATATAACACCTAGGGACCGCGTGGTGGGCGGCGAGCCGCGCATCGGCCGACAATGTGCCGGTGTACGCGTTTCGGTGACACTCAGGGCCCGTTTTGTGCATGACCTGTCCCCGCGACTCGTCGGCGTCGTGCCGTCGTGTGTGCCGTCGGTGGCGGCTGGCGCCCCAGCTCTCGCAACACCCAGGCAAGACGCAAGCCGCAAGCCCCGCAACGCGCAAGGCATATGAGATGTGCGAAACAAATACAAAAAAAGTTGCAATAACCTTGAGAGCACAGTACCTCTCCTGGGCCACCTCTCTCCAACTCCATCTCCCCCGCAACCCCCCGGCCCCGCCGCCCCGGCCCCTGGTGGCCCACGGACCGCCGCCGAGGCCGTGTCCGCATCACTCCCACGGCGCCCTGCCGCCGTGCTCCTCGTCGTCGCCGCGCAGTTCGCCGCTCGGCGTCGACCAGCCGACCGCCGCCTCGTACAGCGACCCAATCGGGCCGGGGTCGAGGAAGGCGTACTTGGGCTCGCGCTGCGCCGTCTGCTTGAGCAGCTTGATGTGGTCACTCACCGGGTGGATCGAGTTAGCCGCGATGGCGCCCGACGCGGCGGCCGACGGCGTGCCGATCCCGGGGAAGCACGAGTCGCCGCAGCGCAGGAGGCCTACGAGGAGGCGCCGAGAGACTTCCGAGAAGGGCCCGAGGAGGGCCCGAGAAGCGGCGGGGCGAGAAGGGGCTGCCGTCCACGGGCGTCTTCAGGTTGGGGAAGGGGAAGGGGAGCAGGTTGGACAGCTTGCCGGCGAAGGGCGCCGACGTGCCCGCCGCCCAAGCGAGGCCGTACGTGCCTAAGGCGGACGCGTCGTCGGCGCGTGATGGACACGGCGCGGACGAGTCGCCCAGCCGAGGTTGTGCTCGCGCGCCGCGGTCGCGGCGAAGGAAGGCCTCGTGCGCGAGCGGCGAGCCGACGATGGAGAACTCGACCCGCTTGCGCACGTCGGGGATGCACCTGGGAAGAGGGCCGAGGGGTCGAGGGTCCGGGAGGGGGACGGGTCGGGGGTGCGGTGCTCCGATTTCCCTCCTTCCTTTCCTCCTCCTTCCTCTTTCTTCTTCCTCGCTATCCTCCCTCCCCCTTTCTCTGTTCTTCTTGTCTTTGCTTCCTCCTCTTCTCTTCCTTTTTACCTCCTTCTTCTCTTTCTCTCTCTT